ACAATGATGGTGCCAACTTGGGCCAGTGAAGCAACGTCCTCCACAACTAGACTGAAGAACAAAAGGACAGCAGCTTGTCTGTTCCCCTTCCCCCAATTCCCCAGCGCTGTTCCCATCCCCCAATAAAAACCTTAAAAAAAAAAAAGCTGCAGTTCAAACCATAGTCTAAAAGGCAACAATATGAAAAATAAAACCAGAGGTGTTATTTTAGAAGTTAAATTATTCATCACGTTAAACCAACTGTGTTAAACAATGTTTTCTTGAAAGAACATCCCACTCTGAATGTGGAATGGGGTTCACTGTGTTGTGCACATAAGAAATGCAACCCGTTGGTTCTCCAACAAAATATAGGGCACATGTCAGAAGTCAAAAATAAGGAAGGCATGAAATATCTAAGAAAAAAACTTAAGGAATGTGCAAAACCTAAGTAAATAAAACTATAAAATTCTAGTAAGGAGTATAGGTAAAATAAATGGAGTAATTTTAGACAGGAAAACTAATATCATAATAAATGTAATTTTCCCTAAATTAATCTATAAATGTAATGCAATACCAATCAAAAGCTATGGTGTATTTGCTTTTTTAATTGAAAAAAAAAATCAATTGGGACAAAAGTGTGAGAAATCCCGAGAAATTTTTGAAAAGGATTGAAGTGAAAAGGTGAATAAGGGGCAAGAGAGGAAAACAAGGGCCTAGTCCCATCAAATTCTAAAACTACTGTAGTTAAAGCAGAATAGTGCTGGCATAGAAATAGAGAAACCAAGTCCAGAAAGGGACCCAATGTCAGGTGGCATCTCATAACCATGGGGAAAAGATGACTGAATCAAGCAATCAATAATATTAGAACTAATGACTAAATCATTTATTCACAACTGAAATCAATTTTGGTATAAAAATGAGGTAGGGACCCATCTTTACTTTTCCCCAGCTAAATGGAAAAATAACACATTAATAATCTAGAAGAAAATAGGGTTGAACACTTTTATACAATTGAAATGAGAACAAGGTTTAAGTAGAAGTGGTTTCTTTTTTCTAATACATGACCATAAACATTTTAAAATAAAGCAGCAGTCACCCCATAATTCCTTTAGAACTTTTATGCCCTTATGAACATGTATTTCTTAAACATGTAAGTAGCATACTATACTTACTCTTTTTGAAGCTGCAATTTCCCATTCAATACATCATGTTATATTTTTTCCCTAAGTCAATTCAAAACAATCTAGTAATCCATCAAATGGGTATGCCATATTTTAACCAATTCCCCACTGATGACCATTTAATTGTTAATTTTTAGCTCTCTAAATAAATTAAAACCTTTTATACATCTTGTTCTATTGTTTCCCCAGAACACTTGCTAAAAGTAAAATTTATGGGTCAAAGGACATGCAGATTTAAAACTTCAAATTTTCACTTAAGACTTCTGTTATATACATATACAAGATATTAATGCTTAGGAAGTCAAACTGGTATATTTTTATTGTTTCTGAGTTTCCTATCATGCTTTAGAACAGCGGTTCTCAACCTGTGGGTCGCGACCCCTTTGGGGGTCGAATGACCCTTTCACAGGGGTCACCGGGTAGGTACTCGTATGTGGGCGTTATCTGCATGTGGGCCTGGAGACGGACAGAGGAGCCGTGTCTTGGTTCCTAAGACCATCGAAAATATGTGTTTTCCAACGGTCTTAGGCGACCCCTGTGAAAGGTTGAGAACCGCTGCTTTAGAATGTCTTAGCAACATGAGATTATAAAACAGGTCTCTTATATTTATCAGCTCTACTGAACTATGATTCACATACCACAAAATTCAACCTCTTAAAATATACAATTCAGTAATTTTGTATGTTCAGAGTTGTACAGCTATTACCATTACTTAATTCCAAAACATTTGCATTACCCCACAAAGAAATTTTGTGCCTGTTAGCAATCACTCCTCATTTCCCTCTCTCCCCAGCCCCTGGCAAGCATTAATCTACTTTCTATCTCTGTATTTGCCTACTCTGGACATTTCAAATCAATAGACTCATAAGGTATGTGGTGTGGCCTTTGTGACTCTGGTTTCTTTCACTTAGCATGTTTTCAAGGTTCGCCCACACTGAAACATGTATCAGTACTCCATTCCTTTTTATGGCACAATAATATTCCATTGTATAGATATATCAAATTCTACTTATCTATTCATTAGTTCCTTGACATGTAGGTTGCTTCTACTTTTTGGCTATTATGAATAGTGATGCTATGAACATCTGTGTACAAGTTTTTATGTCTGTACTTATTAAGTTTTTAATCCATCTACAATCTATTGTGATATAGGAATCTATTTTTTCCTTCCAAAACAGTTAATCTGAATACAGAATCCTAGATTTTCATATCCTCCCTCAAGTTTTTAAATTTTTCAGCAACTAACTACTGTCATTGCAAAGCATCCAACTTAGTTTTGATGGGAATGATTTTCTTTTTACACTCATAATCCATCAGTTTATGCAATAGTTAATAAAATTACTTAAAATTTTTATTTATTTAATTAGTTTCAGGTGTACAAAGCATAATAGACATTTACACCTATCATAGTGATAAATCCCCTCCCCCAAGCTACTACCTCTCTGACATCTAATATAACTGTTACAATACCCTTGACTGTCTTCCTTATGCTATATTCCCCCTCCCGTGACTGTGTGTGTATAATGTATATAATATATAATTATATAATATGTATATATTATCCATATTATATAATTATAGTTGACATACAATATTATTCTACTTCAGCTTCAGGTGTACGGCACATTGGTCATGCATCTGCACAGTCTATGAAGTGATCTCCTTGGTAAGTCCAGTGCCCATCTGGCTCCTTACATAATCTCTACAACATTGCTGATTATATTCCTCATTCTGTATTTCATATCCCATTGACTATATTGTATCTACTAATTTGCTTTCTAATCCTTTCACCGTCTCCCCCATCCTCTTCCTGCTCCTATCTGACAAACAGCAGCTTTTTTTTCTAGATCTGAGTCCATTTCTGTTGGTCGCTCATTTATTGTTCTTTAGATTCCACATATAAGTGAGATTATATGGGGTTTGTCTTTCTCAGTCTGACTTATTTCACTTAGCATAATATTCTCAAGGTCCATCCATATTGTTGTTAATGGTTAAGATTTCATTCTTTTTACAGCCGAGTAATACTCCATTGTATAAATGTACTAGTTTCTTTATCCAACCGTCTATCGATGGGCATTTTGGTTATTTCCATATCTTGGCTATTGTGAATAGCACTGCAATAAACATAGGAGTGTATATATTTTTTTGAATTAGTGTTTTGGCTTTCTTTGGATAGATACCCAGGAGCGGAATTGCTGGGTAATAAGGCAGTTACTTATGAAATACAATAAGTAAGCTCGAATAAGTACAACTGGCTCTTAATATATAAATCCACCGCACTAAGCATACTGTGCAGTTATATTAGAGAAAACCAGCATTCAGGATACCATGGAACTTAATATTGGCTAATGCTGTAGAAGTCAGTGAAGGGAACATCTACCATGCTAATTACCCTATATTGATCCCTGCTTGTTCTATTAATTCTGATTACTTAGGTTTAGTCCTTTTATTTGTTGAATTTGTCTCTTTCATTGTGTTGGCTTTCCGCAGGTGCTTGGTGATAGATTCTGGGCTTATCTCTACTTGAGTAACTTGATGGGTGAGGGGAGGGCTATGATGTGCAGTAGCTGTTGCTCTGCCTTGTACTATTTTCAGTGGGATTGGAGATGCTAAGAACCCCATAATCTGTTCTTCTGGAAATGGATGGTCCTCATTCCTGCCAGGTGTTACAAGTAATGCAGCAGGGGGAGGGGGAAATATCCTGTATCTCCCCACCAATCTCCTGTTCTGAGAATTTCAGCGCTGTTTGTCAATTTTATCTCAGTAAAAGTGGGGTAGAGGGAAGAGAATTTCAGCTTGATAGCAGATAACCTCCTTATAGATATGTGGAACAAGGAGGGAGAGGTGCATTTGTTGAGGTTCCCCACTGTTCAGTCTTTTACTATGGGTCGCTCCTTTCCTCCCTACCTCCACCATCTCAAGAAATTGGACTCGCTCAGTGTTGAACCATTTTCCTGCACTAATTTTTCTTCTGCCAATGGGGCTGACCTCTGGGCCGTCATGCTACTTTCTGCCTTTTGGGAATTTGTTTTTCATTTACCAAAACTCTTGTTTTTGAGTATGGAGATACATATGGGTTTTTAATATATTTTTCATAATTTCTATGGATTTCGTAGGAGGCAGAAGAGATTCCAGATGCTTACTTTATCCTCTTAAACCTGGAACTGCTGTTGGTTTCTGACAGATAGTCTTTACTAAGTGAAGGAAATTTTCTTTATTCCTAGTTTTCGAAGATTTAAACACAGGAAAGGTGAGTTTTATTAACAGGCTTTTCAGTACTTGCTGAGATGCCATGCTTTTTATCCTTTAGCTTATTTAAATAATGAATTACATTACAGATCACTAAATGTGAATTCTGTAAAACTTCCTACTTCCTCACAGCATGCTACAGTTTTACTGTATGCCATATTCAATTTATCAATTGTTTTTGGAAGTGCTACATCTATATTTGTAAGTTAATTGGTATCTGTAGGTAAACACTAACTTTTTCAGGCTTGTGCATCATAGTTGCTAACCTTATCATAGGGAAATGTGTCTCTATTCTAGGACAGTACAAACAACAGAAATAGTGTTTTTTAATATTTGCAAGATACTTTGTATCTTTTTGTGGGGGGAAAACTGTTTATACATACTTAATGGTTGGGAAAACAGTATTCAGAATTGTTTAAACCACCAAGAAATAACTCTCCTAATTCCCCAGAAAAAGTTATTTATAACAATTTGATATATCTGTCCAATGTGTCCTATACTAATATATGTGCACACCTGTGTACAGTACTCATCCTACATATGTGCCTAAGTATCTTTTAACAAAATGGCATCATTCTGTTTTGCAACTTGCTTTTTTCACTTTATACAGCTTTCAAAATATGATCAAATTTATTCCTTAACAACTTCATAGTATATGATTGCCTGGATGTGCCGTAATTAATACTGCCATAGAAACATTTGTTTTAGTTGTCTTTAGTTTACAACCAAGACAATAAGTAATGTCCCTGTACAAATATATTTGTACTCTTTCATATCTTGAATAAATTGCAAGAGGAGATTGTGTCAAAGACTGATACTGCCATATTGTCTTCCAAAAATACTTACGCCAACTTACTTCATGGGGTAGATTTTGACAATTAGACTTTTTAAAGCACGACGTAAAAACTTGAAGCCATAAAGACAGATAAGTTTTACAATCTAAGAACTGAAATTTTCTGTTAAGCAAAAATATACACAAAGTCAGAATACTAAGGCTTTTACCTTTTGAGAGGGAAAAACTTAAATTCTTATAACATTTATAATTAAAATTTAACATCTTTAAAACTAGAATGATACTAAGGTCATGAAGGTAGGAATCAAGTGTATTCTGTTTAATGCTACATTCTTAGAACTAGCACAGTACCTTGTACATAGGAGCTTCTTATATATTAAGTAAATAAAATATAAATAATCCAATAGAAAAATAGCAAAGAGAAATTACATACAAACAAAAAATGGCCAAAAAGCACAGAAAAAAATTGTTCAAATTTTAAACTTAAAAATGGAAATTAAAACAAAGAACTCATATGATCTGTAAGACTGGCAAAGTTTAACAAGTGTAAACTGGTTCAACTTTTTGGAGGGTAATTTAACAATTCTCTTAAATTTTTAAGTGTGAGTATTCTTCCACCATCAATTCTACTACTAGGAATTTAACTTACAGAAACAATTGTATAAGTATAAAGATGTAATTTAATTGAACCATTGTTTATAGAAGTGAACAACTGGAAGCAACACAAGTGTCCATCAATCAAGAATTAAATTATGGGACATCTATATAATATAGCAATATAAAAGGCTTCAGGAAGAATGTGTGATTGCTTAACAGGAAATCCACGTGTGGGAAGAAAGAGCAGGACATTCCTAGAAAGGATAACAGACAGCAAGTGTGGGATGGAGGTTGGGGGAGAATAAAGGAAGAGTGCGTACCAGAAAGGCAGATTGACAGCTGTTCATCATCCACTGGAGATGCTTTTTGACTGTTCTTCCCACCTCCCATTTGATTTTCTAGTTTGAGTTCACTGCACGTCAGAGGAGCCTCCAGGGGACTTTTACAGTAAGGGTGGTCCAGCAACTTAGAACTAAGAATGTTCTGCTTGAGAGATCCATCCTCATCCATCTGGCATGAGCTCTCTATCTGAACAGTCTCTTCGGACACAAGCCCATCTACACTACTTACAGACTGCTCTGCCCCAGACACCGACAGTTTTACCCTGTCATCATTGACAGTACTTGTCCAATTTTCCTGACCCAGAGTCAGAGCGTCTCTTTCGGTTTCCGAAATAAACATATTACTAGAATGATGTTCTGGTAAAGGGATGTCATGCATCAGCTCTGCACACTCCCACTTAGGAGAGGAACAGGGTGACTGGTCCCAGGTGTATGCGGCACTGCCATTCTGGTGATCAGGGAATGATTCCTCTAAACTAAGCTCCTTGCCCAAGAAAGGGCTTCCTTTAGTGCAGCCCTCAGGCACATGAGAGTTCTGTCCCTTCACCACAGCACTGCTGTCCATATCTGGGAAGTACGGTTGATGCTGACAAGGGTCCTTAGGTTCGGGGGAAGGGAATGGGCTGCAAGTGCCACCCTCACTGTTCTCCCTAAAGGTCTCTTGATGGTCCCCAGTGACCTGCACCCAGCTTTGCTGGGCTTTTCTTAGCTTGCAAACTTTGCTTTTTGTTCTGAAGTGCTGGGATCTGAGAATCCTATACCGAAATCTAATCATGGACCATTTCTCATACATCATAAGAGGAGATACTTTTATTCTTCTATGTTGGTTAAGTTGAAACTTTTTTGGAGTCAGGGGTCCCCCATTCCTGTGGTGCTCCAGCCCTTGGTAGCAGCCATAACAAAAGCGCTTTCTCTTATGGTTGCTCAAGGTGACCACAATTGTGCCGCTCTCACCTGGACTCTGGCTCTCCCCATTGAACTTCATGGGAAAGTCAGAAGCTTGCAGCTCTGTCCTCGGTCTGTGACCAATGGCCTGACCTAAAACACTATTTGCTGGTAAGTCAGCAACTGCCTTCAAGAGACTTTTCTCTCCGCAATATTCATGGTCAGAGTTCTCTGCTGATGACAGCAACTTCTCTGCCTGGAGTTTCAGAAGTGTCCTTGAGGAGGAAATGAAGTGTTTAGTGCCTTTTCTTTTCACTTTAGAGGGCAAAGTATTAACATTTTCAGCAGCCACATTGGACTTTGTCTTAGCAAAAAACGGTTCATCCTGGATCCACGTTTTCTGGATTTGAAGGGCCTTCTTTCTACACTGGAAATGCCTCAACTGCCTGCTCCAAGTAACTGGCCTTCCCAACTTGGCTTTCAGAATGCACAAGTGCTGGTGGAAGTAGAACTTCTTAAAGCCTCCAAACCCAGTATTCCATTTCTCAGAAAAGGCTATGCGGATTCCTTTCCTCCATAGAGTTTTCTTCTGTTTTTTCATTTTTCTGATGCATACTGAGATCTGGATGTAGCTGTTAAGAAGAGAAAGAAAAGTTACATTTCTATCCTAAAAATAAGGTCATAAAGACGTATTCACAGAGGAAGCCCTACAACTAAGGACATACAGAAGAAGCCACCTCAAGACTGGCAGGAGGTGCGGAGATGAAGAATGGGCTGGTGCCACACCTGCGTGTGACCATTAAAAATTGGGAGGGGCGGCTGGTTTGCTCAGTTGGTTAGAGCTCAGTGCTCACAACACCAAGGTTGCCAGTTCGATCCCCACATGGGCTGCTGAGCTGTGCCCTCTACAATTAGATTGAAACAACTACTTGACTTGGCGCTGATGGGTCCTAGAAAAACACACTGTTCCCCAATTAAAAAAAAAATTGGGAGGGATATCTTGGCTGCGGCGGTCCCCCCAGGAAGAGCAAGGGCCCCAGGCCCATACTAGGCTCCCCATCCCCGGTTTCAGTACCAGGGAGAGAAGTCCCCACAATCTCTGGAAACCACAATCTGTGGAAATCAGCAGAGATTGTGGCTTGGTGAGACCAGGGGGACTGCAGTTCCAGGCACTCCTCTTAAAAGGCCTGCGCATGGACTTACTTGCTGACGGACTCACTCACTCTGAGCTCTGGGGAAGCAGCTTGAAAGGCGCCAGGGACATATGGGGAGGAACTGAGTTGTCTAGCAGGAGGGTGAGGGCTAGAGGGGCAGCTTTCTCCCAGACAAAGAAGCTGGCGGAAGCCAGTGTTTCTCTGTTGAGCCCTCTCACTCCCTGCGTGCAGACAGAAGTGGCCCCCTTATCTGAGTCTCCATCAACCTGGCTATCACAATTGCTCACCATGATTCCCTGAGACCCTGCCCTACCTAACTTTTGGGCTCACCCAAGCTGCTTCCAGTGGCTTTTCCATATAAATGGCCTGCACTGGCTCATGCTGCGGACTTTCCTAAAATCTCTCAAAGGTTCACTAAACCCAAACAGCAGCATCTGGCTTTGGCATGTCCTGTACCTCTGGCTGAGCAGCCTTAAGCCCAGCACTAGCAGCAGCGGCCTCAGTTTGAGGTTTGGCCTCTCCAGGCACCTCTAAGCTCAGTGCAGGTGACAGTATTCTGAGGATTGCTTTATGGCTCATGACAGGTGGCCCTGGGCAGGCACAGGCTGTGGCTGAACTTGGCTTGAGGTGGGACCCCTCCCAGAAGGCCCCGAGGCTGGCACACCCAGTGGCCAGATTCAGACTGTACTGTGCTGGAGCATTACCCAGCCACCTCCGGGACAACACACCCAAAGAGCACACTGAGCAGGCACCAAAACCCTGCCAAAGTGAATCCTGCTCTATAGGGTCAGCCCCCGAACACTTCCTCCACTGTAGTCAGTCCTCACAACCAATCAGAACGAGAGTCAATCCCTCCCAATGATGTGCAAACAGCAACCAAGGCTCATCTACAACAGGAGGGCACACACAACCCACACAAGGGACATACCCAGAGTACCCAGCTCAGATGACCAGGAAGGCTGTGCCACTGAGCGCCACAGCACACCTACTACATAAGACCACTCTACTAAGACCGGAAGACATAGCAGCTCTACTTAACACTAGAAACAAACACTTGGAGGCAGTCAAAATTGGGAGACAAAGAAACATGTCCCAAATAAAAGAACAGAACAAAGTTCTAGAAAAAAACCTAAAAAAAATGGAGACAAGCAATCTACCAGGCACAGAGTTCCAAACACTGGTTATAAGGATGCTCAATGATCTCAGGGAGAACTTCAACAAACAGACAGGAAACATAAAAATAGAGATAAATGGGCCGGCCGAGTGGCTCATTGGTTAAGAGTTGGCTTGAGATGCCAGATCTGAGCAGCAGGGCCCCAGTTCGGATGCCACATGTGGGCCAGTGACGCTGCACCCTCTACAGCTAAGATGGTGAACAACAGCTTGACCTGGAGCTGAGCTGCTGTGAGTCGCCAGCGTTGGAACAGGCTGCAGCCCCTGCTGCAGTGGGCTGCCATGAGCTACTGTGAGTGGCTGACAGCTAGTGTGAGCAGCCAGCAGCCAGCATGAGCTGCTGTGAGCCGCTGTGAGTGGCCATCCAATGGCCAGCGAGCAACTGTCCCACCCGGGAAGAGCGCAATGATAATACCAACATGGGCCAGTGAAGCGATGTTCTCCACAACTAGACTGAAGAACAAAAGGACAGCAACTTGTCTGTTCCTCTTCCCTGATTCCCCAACGCTGTTCCCCACTCCCAATTCCCCAATAAAATATTAAAAAAAAAGAGAGAGAGAGAAAAAACATAAGAACTATTTAGAAAGAAAGAATATAATAACTGAAATGAAGAATACATTAGAGGGAATCAACAGTAAATTAGATGAAGTCGAGGACTGAATCAGTGACTTAGAAAATAAGGTAGCAGAAAACACCCAATCAGAACAGCAAAAAGGAAAAAGAACCCAAATAAATGAGGACAGTTTAAGGGGCCTCTGGGACAAATCAAGTGTACCAACATTTGTTTCATAGAGGTAACAGAAGGAGAAAAAGAGAGCAAGGAATTGAAAACCTATGAAATAATGATGGAAAACGTCCCTAACCTGGCAAAGGAAATAAATATAAGCCCAGGAAGTGTAGAGTCCCACACAAGATGAATCCAAAGAGGCCCACACCAAGACATTTCATCATTCAAATGCCAAAGGTTAAAGACAAAGAGAGAATCTTAAAAGCAACAAGAGAAAAGCAGTTAGTTACCTACAAGGGAGTTTTCTAAGATTGTCAGCTGATTTCTCAACACTTTGCAGGCCAGAAGGGATTGACATGAAATATTCAAAGTGATGAAATCAAAGGACGTACAACCAAGATTACTCTACCCAGCAAAGCTATTATTTAGAATTGAAAGACAGATAAAGAGCTACCCAGACAAGAAAAAGCTAAAGAAGGCCATCACCCCCAAACTAGTATTACAGAAATGTTAAAGGGACCTCTTTAAGAAGAAGGAAATAATAAAAAATATGAATAATAAAAGAGCAATAACTACATATCTACAAGAATGAACAATTACTTTAAATGTAGGTGGATTAAATGCTCTAATCAAAAGTCATAGGGTGGGGGCCGGCTGGGTGACTCAGCTGGTTAGAGCATGTGCTCTTAACAACAAGGTTGCTGATTCAACTCCAACATGGGATGGTGGGCTGTGCCCCCTCACAACTAGATTGAAAGGGGCGACTGGACTTGGAACTGACCTTGCGCCCTCCACAACTAAGGTTGAAGAAGGACAACTTGACTTGGAGCTGATGAGTCCTGGAAAAAACACACTGTTCCCCAATAAAGTTAAAACAACAACAACAAAAACAAAAAACGGGGTCAGCCGAGTGGCGTGTTGGTTAAGAGTTGGCTTGGGACGCCTGCTCTGAGCAGCAGGACCCCGGTTTGGATCCCACATGAGGGCCAGTGATGCTGCGCCCTCTATAGCTAAGATGGTGAACAACAACTTAACCTGGAGCTGGGCTGCAATGAGTCACGGGCGATGGTGTAGGCTGCAGCCCCTGCTGCAGTGGACTGCCATGAGTTACCGTGAGTGGCTGGCAGCCAGCATGAGCGGCCGGCAGCCGGCATGAGCTGCCATGAGCCGCAGTGAGTGGCCATCCAATGGCCGGCAAGCAACTGCCTCACCCAGGAAGAGCGCAATGATAATACCAACATGGGCCAGTGAAGCAACATCCTCCACTACTAGGCAGAACAAAAAGGACAGCAACTTGTCTGTTCCCCCTTCCTCGATTCCCCAATGCTGTCCCCCAATTCCCCAATAAAATCTTTGAAAAAAAAAAAAGAATTTAGAGACTTAGTGACTTGGTTTTTCATCTGAGGCACATACCATGTCTTTCTAGATTCTGAATTCATAGACCACCTATCTGTTAACATGGCTTTTTTTATCAGTGAATTTAGAATTCTCTTTTTCATGTGGTTGTAGGAAGTTAACATGCTATAAAATGAGTCATTTTTAGAAAGAAAATAATTCAGCATTTTCTTTTAGAGGATTTGTGATGTAGGGTCCTTTTCTGGCTCTACTACTAACATAGAATAGGTATTACTAGAGTAATGAGAAGGCTATCAAAGAATAATCTGAGAATGACTATATCTCCCAAAGAAAATGCTCAACTCTGCCTGATGGTCTATTATCTTAATAAACTGGAAATATTACCCACTCCCCCAAAAAAGTCATGATGTTTCACATAATGGGTAAGAAAAATACACACGAAGCACTGTTACCAGATCCGTCAATCCTTTCTAGGCATCTACCAAATTCTTTAAATCAGTCACACAGTACAATTTAACCAAGGAAAGAAAAAGGGACTAAAAATTCAAAGACAAGCTTAAAGTAAATACTGAAAGCCTTTAGTTAAATCAGGCAGTACAGAGCCCAGCTCTCAAACTGAGTTCCAGAGAAAGTTGGCTAGTGACACAAAGTTCAGTAGTCATGCATACCACAATGGGGGGGGGGAATGGGGAGGGGGGGAACGGACGTACACTGGGTTTATGATAAGCCAATACAAAAGCAAAATAATCTTAAACTGGAATTTTTCCGCAGTTTATGAAGGCTTGGCACAAAAACCTACTAAAAAACTGATTTATAAAAGTGATATAATCTTTATATTATTCTGCCAACAAACAAACCTAAGCAACATTTAGTAAGAAATTTTACTGTACAACCTACTTTCATGAAAGAGCATTAAGGAGTCTAACCGCATAGAAAGCTATAAAAACAGAATTACAGAGCTACTAACTTAACGGTCTTTCTTATTTTAACTTCTGAGCTCAAGGCACTACAAAACCTGAAATAGTACTATTGATTCAAGTAAGGTTATTTGTTAAAGAAAGGAAAAGAGAAAAAAAAAAACAATTAAGAAGGCATAGAAGGCAACAAACTAATGGGGCATGGCACTCATCTCTCTAAGCCTGTTTATAAACTAAAATGTGAAACACGATCTACATCTATGTTTTCAAACCATGAGTATCACCTGACAAGCTTTTCAAAAACCACAAATACCCAGGTCCCACTTCAGATCTACTGAGGTAATGTCGAGGCATCTGGGGTTTGGTTTTAATTCCACAACTGCTTCTGATGCCCAGGAAGGTTCTGGAACCACTGGATAAGATGACCTTCCTTATCCATGACTTGAAGTTCCAAATTGACAATTCTATGTCAAAGGAACTGAAAGATTGCACTTGGGTACATACTGCACAGCAGCCATCATCATACTCCACTAAGGAAAGGAAAGCATCCTTCATTTGTCTGACCAAGCAATTGGGTTTAAGAACAGGGGCTACTCACTGAAGTCACTGATTGCATCTCCCATCCTTCCTGCCCTAACACTTCTCTAACTTAGGGTCTATTAAACTTCAGTGGTGAATGTTCTCTCCTATATAGAGAAAGGCATCTCCTCAGATTAACTTAGAACTGTAATGTCCAGCCACTCAAAGGATTCAAGTTCCTGTATTTATTCTCTGCACATTTTCAATTAACATGAAATGTTTTAGAGGCAGAGTGAGGAGTCCTCAGAAACGTGTGCAAAGAATTCCTTTTAAAGTGGACCAAGGTGTAAAAGAGGCCCCTCCCAGCTTTTCTCCTGGAAAGGGCCCACCAGGCAAAGTTATCTTGAGTAAGGAGCAAAACTGATTTGGGTCATCTCTCATATACCAATAATGTTTTATCAATAAGCATGAGACAGCTGGGTCTGATTTCTTCCTAATGCTGCCCAACCCAAAGCACAGTCTGCAGTTAGGTTCTAACTACACAAGATCCTAGTATCTCCTCTGGCACCCTTCTCCATAGCAAGCTTAGTTATTCTAGGTAAAAGACATAACTAGGAACCTACCATTAAGTGTCCTGTATATCCTTAAACTGAGTGTAACTCGATTCCCCAAATATTTCATGATTAACATTCTGCTGTCATTTCATTTAATTCTCCCTACTAATTTATATAGGTATAAAAGAAGCTCAACTTTACATGCGGTAAAAAACGTCGAAGTGTTAAAACCACCACCAAATGGCAGGCTAGGATCTCAACTCAGCTCTTCTGACTCGAAAACGCTTCCCACATCCTCTCCACATCTCTCTCCTCTCCCAACACAGCGGCCATACAGTGGAACTGGGGTTCATACTGCCTACCATAGATAAAACAGAAAAATCAAGCTTCCCACCACACTGATGTTCAATTATGCCAAACCCTTTCACTAGAACAGGGTCCCAGGAGTGTGGGGGAAGAAGCTGAAGGCAGGCAGGAAGGAAAACTGTCCCTCCAAATAAAAGCCCTTGACTTCCAAGATCGCAGGAGCTGGAGGACCTCTAACAGCAGCGACTCTGACTGACTCTGACTCTCTCTCTCTCAAAGCTTTCCCTGGCTTCAGGAGGAGCGGCCGGGGGCGCTCGTTTTCTCTGCTTCTGCGTCGTGCAGCTCGAACTGGAGAGAAAGAGGGGAGGACAGCGGTCCCTAGGGACGAGTTCCCGCCCCCAGGAAGGCACAGCAGCGCTCAGGGAGAAATCTGCTGCCTCCCGCTCGGGCGTGGGAGTAGGGCAGCGCTTGAGGCCTCCAGGCCGGGGTGCTGAGCTGGCGCACACTGGCGCGGGAATGGCCAGACAGCCAGGTCCGTAAGTCATTTGGCCGATTTGACACCCGGGTTCCCGCTTACCTCCGCCCCTGGCTGCCCTCACCTGCCCCGCCGCGGGCCCAGAAACTGCGGCAGCTCCAGCTGCGGCCCCGCCTTCGCCAGCTCCAGGGGAAGACTCGTCAGCAAAGAGGTGTCCGGCCTGCACACGGCAGCCACGGCCGCCCAGCTTCCTTTGCAGCCGCTGTCGCGATGCCGGCGCTTAGTTATACCGTCACCTCCTTCCGGGCCCTTCCGCCTCAGCCCCTCCCCGCCCCGCGTGCCGGCGGAGAGAGCCCGCGACGACCCGGCGCTGGGGCCGCGGCCCCGCCTTCCCTCGCCGGTGTGGACGTCTGGCTCTTACGTGTGCCGTGTCGTCCCGACCCCCGACTCCGTCCCCTACCCGGCGCCTCCTTCTACAAGTGAGGACTTGTGGAAACTGATATAGAAATTGCAGAAGCTCTACAAATTGGGTTTGAGAGACCTGTTCAGCCTCCTCTGAAATGTTTACCCTACAAGGGCTAGGGCAGACCGCAGCTAATGTGTGGCCCGTTCCTCCACTAACCCGTTTTCCTTTTTGAATAACAAGTGAAAGACCCCATTCCTACTCTGGATGCTCTGGCCCAAGCATTTCTTCTCTGATTCCCCCATGATGACCTTACCCATCGGTATTATAATGCACCTCTTCATCTGTGCCCTGCCTCTTCTCGACTGAGAACATTTCCATTGGAGGATAGAGCCCGATTTTATTCACCACAGTAGCCAGAGCACCAAATAGTGACTGGCCTATTACAAGCGCTTAGTAAGTCAGTGCGGTACATCTGTTATTCTCTTCCTAATGAGAGAGGAAAATGACCTCAGTCTGATATGTTGAGGCACTATTCATTAAACATTTTTTGAATGTGAACATGAAGTAGTCTTTCTCTTGGAAGCCCTCAGTCTAATTGTGGGGAAAGAGACATCAATAATTTTAATACAATATCCCGACAGGGAGAAAATATAACAGATTTATGGTGGAAGATAAATTCAATTTTAGACATACTCGATTCCGATTGTTGCAGGAAAGAGGATTCTTGGCTATAGGCAAGGAGCAAGAGATAATTCAATAGCGAGCCAGATAGCAAAGTGAAAGTAGTTTGTTGAGTAAAGATCTACTCCATAGGCAGAGTAAAAGTTGCTCCAAAATGAGACGTTGATTTTGGTGCGACAGCAGTTTTTATTTGGTAGGGGTTTTATTTGTATTGAAATAAAGGGGCGGAATGTTCTATTAGTTCCAGGAAACTGGTGGGCTTTTCTGAGAATGGGGATACACCCCCTTTTTTGTCCTTGTATGGTCCTTTCCTGAAGTGTCATGGCACTGGTGGGTATGTTATTTGGTATGGAAATGTGTTTTAATGAGGGTATAAGGCTGGAAATTACTTGGAGGTAAATCCTGTAGTCATCTTGATCTTGGCTAATCCTGGCCTGTTTGTACTACATCCTGGTTTACTGGATTTTCTCCCATGGTTGACATTTCCGTTGTTTTCTGCCCTAGGGTGTCCTGCCCTGCCCTGTCTCATCAATAGAATGGAGATGGATATAATGGAATACCAAGGGTTGGGTTCCAGGCGCCATTTACCCCAGGTGCAAGCAGTAAGGGTGTGACTATAGAGAAGATACAAAGTATAGTAAAACTGACTACAATGTGGTTTGCTTTTAATTATCATGTATCAGCAAATTCTAAATGGTGTCAATAATAAAGTACTCCTCCCCCAAACAAAAGCTTTTCTTAGTCTTCCTAAACAGTTGCTATAGGCACTATTGAGTTTTACTATACAATCATGCGCTGCTTAACAGGAAAATGTTCTGTGATTTCAACATTGTGCAAACATCATAGTGTACTTAGTTAGACAAACCTAGATGGTATAGCCTACTACACAGCTTGGCTATATGGTATAGCTTATTGCTATATAGGGGAGGAAAAATAATTTTCCCTCTACCCTTCTGGGTTCTTGGTTTAGACATCCCTATAGTAAAAGATTAACAGGAGAAAACAAACAAAAGTTTAATAATATGTATCCCCCTCTCCCTCACCTCAGCTAGACCTGTTCTCTTCCCCCAAAATGTATCACTAATACCAAGAGCCTATGCCTCTCTCTCACCTCGGCTAGGCCCGTTCTCTTCCCTGAGAATGTATCACTAATAAACCCTGATTCCATGTTAATCAGCTTGCTGACCTTTGATTCTTCACTGTGTCGGCAGGAAGAACCAAGACTCCCGTAATACCACCACCTTAAATGCCATCCTCAGCTGAAGACAAAAGAAGAAGCTGTGGCTTGGGGGAGTCAGTTATGGGAAGTTACCAGGAAAAGCACAGTAAACAAGGGTAGGGTTGTTATTGCAGACTTAAGTCACTGTTTTCTGCATTGTTAAGTTTCTGGAAGGCCATCTCCCTCTTCTAGTAAGGCTAGGGGCGCCCCCTTACAACTGGAATGTCTTTTACAAAGGGTAACTCCTACTTGGTTTCCAGATCTTCTCCCATGTCTGCTGTTTCTTAAAATTAAGCAACCTTGTGCCAAAAAGACATATTTTGGAGTGACAAATCCTGTTTCCCTACAGCTCAGGCTACAAATCTACACAGCTTGTTACTGTAGGCAATTGTAAGACAATGGTAAACATTTGTGTAATGTGTTGCTCAAGATGCCTTAGTATATGTGGTCTGTCCTTGATTGAAAGGTTGCTATGGGGTGCATGACCATGTATAAGCTTCAGATTGACATTTCCTCAGTTTAAAAGTAAATCTTGTGAGATTTGCACTTTCAGCCAAGATGGAATAACAGATCAGATTTACCCTTTCAACTGAAACAACTAAAAAGCCAGACAAAAAAATATGAAACATTAGTTTTCAAGACATTTGACATAAGGCAAAGAATGGTAATTAATCCCTGAGAGTTGGACAATAAATGGGGTGAGCCCCCCAAATGCCCCAGTGTGCTGCCTGGCAAGAGTCTCTAGGATAGTCACAGGTAGAGGATACCAGGAAAAGCCTGATGGTTTCCCTACATTGAGGAAGAAGCAGGAAGACTGGGACGGAAAAGCAAATAGAGTTCACAAGAAAGGCTCCCCAGTGAAGAGAGAGTTGCACAAAGAGAAAGCTGCTTTTTATTATTTTCTCACTGTTGATTTTTAGCTATTTGACTATTTTGTGTCCTAATGTGGTTTTCATTGTATTTATCGGGCTTGGGTTTGTAACTGCACATGAACTTATTTCTTTAGCATACATTCTGCTTTAATCCAAGCTAGCTTTGTTTAGCCTGATAGAACTATGAGTCATCTTTCCCCAGACCCTCCTACCAGCACATTTGCTGTATGTCAGCTCCTTTTAATCATTAAGCCCTTAGGACATTAGGTTCTGGTCAGAGTCACACTCACTTCAAAATAAAGGTTCAGGTCTATCAACCATGGCCAAGATACAATAACCAAACCTCAAACCAGATTAAGGTTTAGTCAAAGATAACACCTTGGCCTCAGTTATGTTTCAGCTCCAGACTCATGAAGGCAGAATGGCCCCAAGAACCACATCCCCTGGGAACCGGAGAGAACAATGCATTGGTTGATACCAGGACCTGGAGCCATGATCAATTCCTCTCTGTCTTAGCTCTGTCCAATAAGTAGAGCCCATGACCCCAACTCCCATAGTAACCATGACTAATGATTTTACCCTTATATTGGGTTGTCAGAAAAGTCATGACGCATTTTTGCAACAGATGGTGCTAGTTCATTTTTGGAAGTACTAGAGTCATTCGCATCTATGTTATTGCTATGTCATTTGACAGCTGACAGTTCTAGCTTCATTCTAATAAAAACTGAGCAATTTGGTTGACTTTTGTTGGAGATTTTACAACAAGTTGAAGGCGGAAGACCAAACTGTGCATTTTTGCCATATTTTACTGTTTTACTTCCATAAAGGGAAGAATGCACATCAAGCTTGTGAAAAGTTGCATCAAGTTTATAGTGACAATGCTCTACAAGAACGTCAGTGCCAACGATGGTTCACGAAATTCCATGCTGGTGATTTTTTTTTTTTTTGAAGATTTTTTATTGGGGAATTGTGGGGATGGAAACAATGCTGGGGAATTGGGGGAAAGGGAACAGACGAGTTGCTGTCGTTTTGTTCTTAGTTGTGGAGGACGTTGCTTCACTGGCCCAAGTTGGCACCATCATTGCGCTCTTCCCGGGCGAGGCAGATCAGTCGCCAGCTTCTGGACGGCCACTCACTGCGGCTGCTGGCTACATACGATAGCCCATGGCAATCCACTGCAGCCTACGCCATCACCGGCAGCCAAGCTCCAGGTTGAGCCATTGTTCAGCATCTTAGCTATAGAGGGCAGTGTCACTGGCCCTCATATGTGGGATCCGAACCGGGCCCTCTGGCGTCCCAAGCCAGTTCTTAACCATTGCGCCATTCGGCCGGCCCCTCCATGCTGGTGATTTTTATCTCAACAACACTCCTGGGTCAGGGAGGCCCACCGAGGTTGATGATGACAAAATAAAGGCATTGATCTAGTCAAACCCACGTTACACGACATGAGAGATTGCAGAAACATTGAACATCCATCATTCAAGCATTCACGACCACCTGAAGAAGCTGGGATACGTAAGCAAGCTCGATATTTGGGTTCCTCATGAACTCAAAGAAGTTCATTTGACGGCTCGTATAAACATCTGCAATATGTTCAATAAATGTGAGGAAAATGATCCTTTTTTGAAGTGACTGATAACTGATGAGAAGTGGATCATTTACAACAATGTGGTGAGCAAACGGTCTTGATCCCGACGTGATGATTCGCCTCAAACGACATCGAAAGCAGACATTCATTAGAGGAAGGTTATGCTCTTAGTGTGGTGGGATTTTAAAGGTGTCGTGTTTTTCGAGTTCCTACCAAGGAACCAAACAATCAATTCGAATGTGTACTGTCAGCAATTGGACAGTCTGAATGAATCCATCATCCAGGAACGTCCAGAGCTTGTTAATAGTAAAGGAGTTGTGCTCCATTATGACAACGCGAGACCACACACAAGTTTGATCACCTGTCAAAAATTATTGGAGCTTGGGGCAGGCCGAGTGGCTCAGTTGCTTAAGAGCTCGCTCAAGAGTTTGAGCTCTGAGCAACAGCGATTTGATGCCCGGCCCGAGCTGAGCTGCCACTGAGCTGCCAACAGGTGGCAGGATGGCTCAGCTAAAAAAAAAAAGAAAAAAAAATTATTGGAGCTTGGATGGGATGTGTTGTCACACCCCCATACTTGCCTGACCTTGCGCTGTCAGACTTCCACTTGTTTCGCTCTCTTCAAAACTCCTTGCATGGTATAACGTTCAATTCAGATGAGGCTGTAAATCAGCACCTTGTTCAGATTTTCACAAATAAAGACAGGTCCTTCTATGAATGAGGAATTATGAAGTTCACTGAAAGATGGCAAAAGGTTATCGAACAAAACAGGCAATATCTTTGTTCTTTATATAAATAAATGACCTTTGAAAAAATAGAAAAAAATATGTCATGACTTTTCCGACAACCCAATATAACCAGGCTGCTAGAAGCCATCAGGGAGCCAGGTTTTTGAGAGCACTAGCTCACCTGTGTCCCCAGATTTGGCACCAACTCTTTTAAAAAATCTTTACTTTCTTTGCTGCAAACTCCTGCTGGTGTCTTTTTTTTGGCTTGCATGCAAGCAGGGAAGTGAACCCTTTAAGTCTACAGTAAGTTTTCACTAACTTCTCTAATTTGTGGGTTGCTGTCTTTCATGAATTTTGGGAAATTCTCAGCCAGTGTCTTTTCAACTATTATTTTTGCTCCATTCTCTATCTCTGTTGCTTTGGGATTCCAATTACATATATAAGATCATTTGATCTAGGGCAGCTGGATGGCTCAGTTGGTTAGAGCATGTGTTCTGAATAACAAGGTTGCTGGTTCGATTCCCACATGGGTCAGTGAGCTGTGCCCTCCACAACTAGATTGAAGACGACTTGAGCTGAACTGTCCGAGTTGCTGCTAAGCTGCCAGTCGGTGGCTGGATGGCTCAGTTGGTTAGAGCATGTGCTCTTAACAACAAGGTTGCCAGTTTGATTCCTGCATGGGATGGCGGGCTTTCCCCTACCCCACAACTAGACTGAAAATGGTAACTGGACTGGGAACTGAGCTGCGCCCTCGACAACTAGATTGAAGAACAACGACTTGACTTGGAGCTGATGGGTCATGGAAAAAACACAGTTACCCAATTAAAAAAAATTATTTGATCTTATTCACAATGTGTTTTACACTTTGTTCCATCTTTTTTTTTCCTTGGTGCTTCAGTTTGAATAGTTTCTATTGACTTGTGTTTGAGTTTACTAATTCTGTCTTCTGTGATCTCTAGTCTGCTGTCAAACTATGCTTGAGTTCTTAATTTTTAATATTGTATTTTCAGTTTTAGAATTTGATTTGTTTTTATAGATTCCAGTTATCCATTGAAAGTCTATCTTTTAATCCATTTTGTTCACCTTTTCCTTTATTTTCTGTATTATAGTTTCTTTCTTTCAGTCCTTGTCTGCTAACATTTAACATTTTGATCATTTGTTAGTCTAGTTCAAAGGTTCATCAGTCACATTGTCCTGCCTCGTCATGTGCTTGGTAATGTTTTCTTGTGTGTCACAGTGTATATAAAAGAATTGTAGAGCCACCATGTGATATCATCTCGCAGTCAGTGTTCCCCCTTCCCTCTATTAGGCTGACAGAGTGATGGGCTGATCGTCCCAATGTAATCAGAGATTGAGCTGGATCTTGGTAAGTTTGCCATTTTACTTAGATTCATTCCACCTCTGGGTCATCCACATTCCTCAGGGGTAGCGCAAGCTTTTGATAAAAAACCTCTGTCTCCTCAGTCATGAAAGATTACAGGACATTGAGTTCATTCCTTTAGAGATGATGAACTTAGCTCTTTCACCTCCAGCCTATTCACCTTTAAAATATGAGAAATGTATTGAGGGAGAGGTTAGCCATGTGTGAGAGAGGCCATGTCCCTCTAATGAGGCATAGTTTTCTATACACCATGGCTTTTTGAAAATTTTGACCCAGTCTGACAGCCTTCCAAGCAGGTCTTTAACTCAGCAAATGCCCACCCAGATAAGCAGCCATGCACTGGGGCTCTTCTGATTTCCAGTCTGCCCCAGTAGCCCCACATGGCCACCATAAGTTCCTCTGGGTTTTCTCTAAGTTGAGGCTGATTCTCAGCCCGCACTTAGAATCAGCAAATGTTTCCAGAAAAGAAAACAGCTAGTGATTATCACTTCATCTTAGAATGGCTCTCCCTCCCCTCTTTGGAATTTTAGTATACCTAAAATTAGGTATCAAGTCCTTGTTACTTCACAGCTCTCCAATCTATTTTAAAATATGATATTTTTAAACTTATTCTGCATTTTCTAAAGTTGTTGCAGCACGAACATTGTCCTGCTGCAACCTACTACATCATATTTGGAAGCAAAAGTCACTTGTAAAACTCGGTTATATCATGTCTGCAATGCCCAAGGGTATAAATGATACCTTGTTTATAACCATAATTATAACATTTCTTTAGACTTAGACATTTATGTAAATTTATAGCTCACTGGAAAACCTTTTTTCTATGATTTTTCTACCTATTTGCTTGCCCTAAGTTTGTCTTCTAGATTTTAAAAAAAATAATTATTGAGATCTTACTGTGCATTCAACATTTTATGGGCATTGTAACATTTAACTTTCGCAACAAATCTCTAAGGTGTGAATTTTTTTTTTTATATATATATTTTTAATATAGCTTAGCTGGGCCGGCCGAGTGGTGCGTTGGTTAAGAGCTGGCTTGGGACGCCAGAGGGCCCCGGTTCAGATCCCACATATGAGGGCCAGTGACACTGCCCTCCACAGCTAAGATGCTGAACACCAGCTCAACCTGGAGCTGGGCTGCCATGAGTCGCTCGCCCGCGTGGGCATAGGCTGCAGCCCCTGCTGCAGTGGATTGCCATGGGCTACCATGTGTAGCCAGCAGCCAGCGTGAGCAGCCTTCCAGAAGCTGGCGACTGACCTGCCTCGCCTGGGAAGAGCACAATGATGGTGCCAACTTGGGCCAGTGAAGCAACGTCCTCCACAACTAGACTGAAGAACAAAAGGACAGCAACTTGTCTGTTTCCCTTCCCCCAATTCCCCAAGAAAAATCTTAAAAAAAAACAAAAACAGAAGGCTGTAAAACGGGAGGTCAGAAAACAAAAACGAGTTTTTGAAAATTAAGAATGTGATACTTGATATATGTTAAAAAAAAAAAAAAGGGTCAGAGGTCCAATCAAGAAAATTCTCCCAGAAACTTAAAAACAAAAGGCAGAGATGGAAAGCAGGAGAGAAAGATAAGAAAAACAGATTAATTGTGGAACTCCTGAAATAATGGGGGGGAAATGTGGTAACTATTAAAGAAATAATGCAAGAATTTCACAGAACTGAAGGAAATGAGTCTGACCAAGAGAGCCTGCCAAATGCCCAAAGCTTATTAAAACATATATACCCTTACCAAGGTACTTCATAGTAAAATTTCAGGAAAAAAGCTCCAGAGAAGCAGAGAAATGGGTTATACACAAAGGTATTATAAAAAATGACAAGTTATAAGACAAAGAAGCAGTGACTTCAAAATCTCAAGATGATTCTAGCCTAAAATCCTATAGTACCAGTTAAATGTGAGCCATTTTCAGACATGCAAGCTCTTAAAAATCTTACCTTTATGTACCCTTTCTCAGGAAGCTAGTCAAAGGTGTACTTCTCCAAAATGAGGGAATAAACCAAGCAAGAAGATACGGTGTTCAGGAAACAAAGGATCTAACTCAAGAGTACAGTGAAGTTGAGTTTCAGATGAGGGACAGAAGGCCTGGAGAGCAACAGTGCAATCTACAGCCCCAATCAAGTTCCAGGAAAGAAAAAGGAACTGTCATTATTTGAGACTATAGAAAATAGAAACTAGTTTTCAGAGGGCTTTTGTAATTTTGTTGGGAGTTTGGGAAAACTTAGTGATAACAGCAATTTTCAAAGGCAACAAAAAGACAAGAAAATTAACAGGAAAATCGCAGAGTTGTACAGGAAATGACATGTAATGATAACTTACTTCACTCAAATGAACAACTCTCCCATAGTCATGAAATAAAAACTAACTACTAATTGAATAAAAAAATGCCATCTCTCGGGCCGGCTGAGTGGTCCATTGGTTAAGAGTTGGCTTGGGATGCCAGCTGAGCAGCAGGGCCCCAGTTCAGATCCCACATTAGGGCCAGTGGTGCTGTGCCCTCTACAGCTAAGATGGTGAACAACAGCTTGACTTGCAGCTAGGCTGCCGTGAGTCACCGGCGATGGCGTAGGCTGCAGCCCCTGCTGCAGTGGGCTGCCATAAGCTACTGTGAGTGGCCGGCAGCCAGTGTGAGCTGCCATGAACCACCATGAGCAGTGGTCCAAGGGCCGGCAAGCAACTGCCTCACCTGGGAAGGGCGCAATGATAATACCAACATGGGCCAGTGAAGCGACGTCTTCCACAGCTAGACTGAAGAAGGACAGCAACTTGTCTGTTGTTCCCCTTCACCAATTCCCCAACAAAATCTTAGAAAAAACAAATTGCCATCTCTCTTAATTCAGAGATTAAGGGAGTAGAGATGGGAGAATGCGAAGGTATGACAGTACTCAAATTCTCAACCATCATAACAGGAAGTTACTAGATAAAGTATATAGAAACGTCAAGAAATACCAGTATAAGTATATAATTTAGAAAGGTGAAGATTAATGCATGCTAAAAACAGCTCAGAGTTAAAAATAGGTGCCTCTGTGGACTTGGCAGTGGGGAAATTTAAAGCTGGAGGCTGGCAGGCACTGTCTGTTACAACTCCTTTAAGATTAGTAGTATTTGAATTTTTAATCTATGTACATTATTTTGTTAAACTGTAAGATAACTAGGCTTGTAAAAAGACCTTCATTGTTTTACTCCTCCTCCTCCTCTTCAAAACATAAAACTTGTTGAATAATTTAGCATAAAAAATAATTTCCTAATCTAAAAAATGCCACAAATGGTTTAAACTCATACAAATAGTGGTTTTCAAATCAACCACACAGGCATTCTGAACTTTTCTTAGGCAAATATTTTAAGCATGTGCTGTAATTAGTGTAAAGAAACACAAATGTTAGATTAGCACTAAACAGATTTACAGTGTAAAAAATATATTTCAAGCAGTCATTGCCTGCACCCCCCACTCCATGCTAAAAAATGTGTAATTTTGGTTTGTGATAGTGAGCTCTATATTGCAGCTGTTCTCCATGTCAAGGTATCCAACATTCCAAATTAAATGTGTATAATTAAGTGATACCTTAAAGTGTTGCACTTTTAAAGCTGTCTTGGTGCATTTAACACAGAAATGCTAGTAAGATTCTCATTACCTCAGCCAGGTAAGCATTAGAATTTCAGGCCAAGTTACTGAAGGTATCAAACAGATTGGCAGTGTTTCCCTGGGTCTGATGGCCAGAATATTTCCAAATTTATTCTGAACCTGGTTGAGAAGAGTGAGGGCTCATGCTTACTACCCATACATTTCTGGAAACCTAATCTGGGCCTTGTAGTCATCCAAAATGGTGCCATGACATGTTTAAAAAACATTTATCTTTAAAAATACTATATAATGCTCCTTGAAAACCTATTACACTTATTCTTTTAAGGTGTTGTAATTTAAAGAATTGAGTTTAGGAAAGGGAAAAATAAACATAAAAAAAAGTTTATTTCTAGCCCTGAAAGAACAAAATTATTGAACAGAGTCATCAAATACAGCAGTTAATGTCAACGTAACAATTAAATAATTGAATAGGATTAAATTAAAAATAAGTCAATATAAAATTTGAAGACAAAACAGAAAAGACAAGCTGCTTTCAACTTAACTCCATTTCTATCTACCAAGAGAAAAAAAAAAAAAGCAACATGTTCTTACCAAAGGTGATGTTTAATTCCAACTATAATTCTGTTTTGCTTAATACAGAATGAAAATTTGTTTGACAGAATTATCATACATTCCTTTCTCCCTCTCATTTGGCAATATTCTAGAATGATGAAGGAAAAACACTTCAGTTCTCTCAAGGCCAGGCCAGTGTTTGATTCTCCTTTATAAAATTCCTACAATATCTACCACAGTGTCTTTGCCAAAGTAGTCAATAAATGTGTAGAGTGAGAAAAAAAAGTGTGTGTTTTTCCTTTTTTACACATGCATACACACGCACTGTGGGAAAAACTGATTTTAAATGTTTAAATATCTATTGTAGGAGCAATGGAGACAAGGACGACAATCTGTTTTATACTATGAAATTCCACTATAAAAAAATCTGGATTTTAGCTATATTCCACAATGATTTTTTTGACATCACTGGATATGGATATGTTTATTTTAAAACTTTTAGATTAAAAAACTGGTGCAAATTCTTTAGGCATCGATTTTCTTCTAACTATAGCTACTGCCTGATCAGATCTAGAATTATTCTGGCTAGGGAACAGTATATTTAAACAAACATGTATTTATGTGAGCCCTAAAAGAAAGTCATAGGTAGTTTTAAATTGCTTATTAAAGGCACAGGTTCATTTAGGACTGGTGGTAACTAGATACATTTTAAGCAGCTTAATATTTATACGTGAAAGGGAAGAGAATGTATACTATGTGCCAGGCACTCAACACATGAAGAGAGTTGTGTTAGCCTTGGTTTCTATTGCTATCACAATCACTCTACTTGTTTACTATCCTAGGTAGGATAAACTACTCAGTATTTCCATGGTTTCCCAGTTTTAACTGTTCCTAAAAGCAGCAAAAGGAACAAGAGGAGAAGGGAACTTTAAGACCGCCAGAGTCTGAAATAAAATAAATAAGTACTATAGTAATAATGTCCTAATAATACAAGAAGACTACCAAGGTAATTTTTAGATTTAAATGGAAATTTTCATTCTAAAGTGATGACAAGAGGGTGAATACAAAAGGCAGTTATCAAAAAAACATGAATCTTGATTCAGATATAATTTTTCTTTCAACAAAATCTAAACATTTTAATTTAAAATTAACTAATAAATCACAATTCCATATTGCTTTTAAGATTATTTTGTTTAAAAATGACACATTTCAGAATTAACCAAAGTATATTTCTATTACAAGTTAGTTTATCCAAGTAAGTAAAGAATAAACCACAGTGTAGCTCCCTTAACCTAGGAGTCAGATTTTAATGACAAAGTCCGTTGCCAGCAATGGACATGCAGGTAACCATCAAAAGTTGTAAAATACAAATCCCAAACTGCTTCTATAAACTGAAAAGACCTTCGTTGAGTCACAGGAATAAAAAAATGGGGCATTGGCACTGTATTCAATGAATATGGTCTTTATGACTTACACATGGAAGTGCCTTCTAGAGTGGTCATGATGATCACAGTCTTATCATCTAGTTGGTTTTCTATTTCATCGGTAGCATCTTCTTTATCACAATCCATCCAACTATTTACAAAGAATGTTCAAATCTGGAACCCAAGAGGCAATGTAGCTTTCCATCAGAAATAAACCAGCTTGCTTCTATAAAGTAATTTAGTAATAGCTAGAGGGGGCCAATATAATCCAGAGAAACATAAAATCAAGAACCAAATTGAAAACAGACCATTAAGTGCTCTAAATAAAAGTTTCATTATTTTACTCGTTTTTGTGAAACCTTCCTGCATTATAAAAAAAAAAAAAAAACCCCAAAAACCCCAGGCATTTCTATCCATCTTAACACAGATAATGGGAATGACAGGACATAAAACTATATTAGTTCCCCCAAATGTACTCCAAATCATCAAAACTGCTTTTATTCATTATTTGTACTATTGCAGGATGGCAAGTAGGTATGAAGTTAATTAGCAGAGAATGGTGGGAACATTCTGTTCCAAAACCAAACCACTGATTTTTCTCTTTTATGTGGCTCTTGGCATGCCAGAAGGGGCGACACTACATCCAAATGTAAAACAATCAAAAAATAAGGAGAAAGAGGAGAGGAAGAAGAGGAGGGGAGGAGAGAAGAGAGGGCAGTTTAATAATTAATGCTACAGGTCACAGACCTTTTAAAAATCTTTAAAATAAAGTATTGCTATCAACAAGCACATTTCATTTTTCTTCCTTTCTCCAGTTTTTTACATGAATATTATTTACTTATTTGAAAAAAATCAATAGTAGCTCAACATCTCAAATGATCCATGAATTTATGAAGAAATACTCTGTCATTTAAGTTCTCGGATAGTAAAACCTTGGTAAGGGGTTGGGAACAATGTTTATAACAAATCTCTACAGTTTCCTGGTCAGCAGCTGCATCTCTATGTAACTGACATTTGTCTTTCATGAATATAATCTCATCTAATTATTTTAGAGCTCACCAAGGTTCAAGACTCTCACATTGTCTCTACTAGCTCCAAATATTTTTCTCCTTTAAATGGAAAAAGAGTTACCTTTTAAATTCTGATTCAATGGTTATTATATTATTTACCATGGGGTGGGGAGCAGGGTGAGAGAGGGTTAATTAAAAAACAAACAAACTAAAATTACAACATATACAGAAACTTATTTCCAAAATGAAGGGAAAGAGAGAAGGGGAAAGTAGCGGCATCAATCGAAGTCATAAAAGCCCAAGTTGGAACAAGAGCAAATCACTTTGGTTCCTGAAGCCAAATGTGAAGAGGAAACGGTCAGAAGGGAAAATAAAATTGTAAGGATGTAGTCAATGGGATTCTCTTTTTGTCTCAATGATTTAGTTATAAATATAGATTATTAGTCTCTCTATACATGTAACAAATGCCAAACACCTCACTATCATGAAATTTCTAAAATCAACTTTCACATTTGTTAAAAAAGGTAAAAATCACATATTTTTCTTCCCTTCCCCCAGTTCAAATTCTGAACCAAAATATTACATGTAACAATAGCTGGTCCTAACTTCTATACAAAGTTAAACCATATCAAGTTCCTTTACCAATATAAGGAGCTACATAATTTCTATCAAACTTGACTCTAATTTAGGCCTAAGGAAAACAACTCAAAAGGAGCAAGTCGAGGAAAAAGAAAGCTACAAAGAAGAGGAAGAAGACTAGCAGATGAAATATATACTCTGAAAAACTCGAATCTGCCATTCAAGTATTGAAAATACCCCAAGAGGGGCAATGAATGGGATCTATTACAATGAAGTCAGCAAAATAAAATGCAAATCTCAAGCATTATAAATGGCCCTGATGGGCTGTCTGCTGAAAGAAGTAAGGCTAGTGATTCAGTCCACAATTCCTTTTGGACCCTAAAGAAGGGATTCAACACAAAGTTGTCATGTTGTTTTGCAATTTTCTCTTGGTTGTCTTCAGGAAGTAGTAGTTTGTTTGTTTTTTCCTCCATGTTACGCAGACCATTTCCTTAAACCCCGAAAGAATAATAATTTTCATATATTAAAAGACTTCTTTTAGAAAATGGAAAAAAGAATATGAGGCCACGGCAATGATGTTAACGGTTACTCTTCATTGCTTCTTTAGCTGCCATAATCAGTGGTGTCAAGCTGGATAACGGTTTGGCCAGTTTCAGGAAGGGATGCTGCCAGAAAGAGGGGAGAAAAACAAATGTGTAAGTGTCACCAGTTTAGGAGCTAAATATTTACTTTCAATTAAAGCCCCAAAGATTTTTATGAACCGTAAGAGATTTAATAAACACATATTTCAATACCTGCATAAAATCAACATAACCAATACATCGTTTGTACAGTTGAAAGCATAGCCTTTTTAAGTTTTTCTAATATTATAAAAATCTTAGTCGAATGACCCAGATGTCAGCAATGAACTGATCTGAGAATTCCTAATATTCAAAAACTCATATTATAGTATGATGGGTATTTTATTTCGAGCAGATAAAATGGTAAACTGGCAGCTGCCATGCTGCTGATGATGAACAAGTAGTGAAATGTAATGAATAACATTATGTAAACTTTGGTTACTTAAAGATCAAGTTTTTCCAAAAATAGTTATCATTTCCAATTTCACCTGTAACAATTCTTTGGCTGAACCCCTTTTCTCCACATCCATCTCCAAACATCGATTTAAGAAATCCCGAAATATTGGGGAAAGTTTCTCTGGGTTCTGAAGTTCTGGGGTTCCATTAGTTGCTATCAGGTATAAGGCCTAAAAACAGAAAAACATCACTGATATACTTAATGTAGCTCAACAAAAGTTAGAAAGCACTTTATAAAGTTTATGGGTCTTTCACATCTTTAAAGGCAATCATCATAAATACTAAAGTGAAGTTAGTATTTCTGCCCATTTGAATTAGATATTTTTCTTTTATTTTAGATGTTTCATTTCCCTAATTTCTTTTTCAAAAGTTAGCTTTAGCTTTTTTGGGGGAGGGAGGTTTATAAATGCAATACATATTGATAAAAGAACTATAGTACGTAAGGGTATACATAAAGGAAAAATGACCACAACCCCACCATTAACATATAGTATCCCATTTACTTTTCTCAAGCTTTTTTCAAATCACACTACATTTCCAAACAATGGAGTTTATTGAAACTTAAAAAAAATAAATAAACTAGCTATATCTATACAGCCACAGATGAAGAGGCAGAGCACAGAGAATATTTAAGACAGTGGAAAAACTCTGTATACTATAATGATAGACATGTTTTTTTCTTTTTTTTAGCTGAGCCATCCTGCCACCTGTTGGCAGCTCAGCAGCAGCTCAGCTCGGGCCGGGACTCTAACCAATGTTGCTCAGAGCTCGCATTCTTGAGCAAGCTCTTATCCAACTGAGCCACTCGGCCAGCCCTGACACATTTTCATTATACATTTGTCCAAACCCATAGAATGTACATCACCAAGCGTGAGCCCTAATGTAAACTATGGACTCTGGGTGACAATGATGTGTCAATGTAGGGTCACTGATTTTAAGAAATGTGCCCTCTGGTGAGGGATGTAGGTAACTGGGGAGGCTATGTATGTATGGGGGAAGTGGGTATATAGAAATCTCTTCCTCTCAATTTTACAGTGAACATGAAACTGCTCTAAAAAAAATAAACTTTAAAAAAAACAACAACCCAAAAACGAAGCTAGCTATATCCCAGCCTCATCCTCACTAGTAATATATTAGAGCTACAAAATTATTTTAATGGCTGGATTGACTAGTGTCATTAATTATATGGATGTTACATAATTTAGTCAATCTCCTTTCGAAAATCCTTGTATTCTTTATGTGCTTCTCTGGATCATTTTCTTTAAATTCCAAAAATGGAATTAAAAAAAAAATAGAACTCCCATATACCCCACCCACAAAGTTTCCCCTATGATCAATATCTTACATTAGTACTGTACACTTGTTACAGGTGATCAACCAACAGTCACATTTTCATTAAACAAAAGCGTAGTTTATATTAGGGTTTACTCTTTGTACTGTATGGTTCTATGGGTTTTCACAAATGCATACCTGCCATGTATCCACCATTAAAGTATCATATAGAGTAATTTCACTGCCCTAAAAATACCCTGTGCTCCACCAATTTATCATTCTCATACCCTGAGCCCCTCTGGCAACCACTGATCTTTTTTACTCTCTATAGTTGTAATCATACCAGACGAGTATGTAGTCTTTCAAGACTGGGTTCCTTCACTAAGCAATATGCATGTAAGGTTCTTCCAAGTCTTTTTGTGGTTTGATAGCTCATTTCTTTTTATCTTTTTAATATAATGGAATAACATTCCATTGTATATATGTACTATTGTCTATATACTCACTCTTTAAAATACAGTGTATTTATAAATTTCACATCTTGTTTGTTTCCAATTTGGGGGCAATTATGAATAAAGATACCATAAACATTTGTGTGTAGGTCTTGTATGGACATAAGTTTTTAACTCATTTGGGTAATGAGTACAATTCTGGATCGTATGTTAAGAATATGTTTAGTTTTGTAGAAAACGCAAATTGTCTTCCAAAGTGGCTGTACCATTTTGCATTCCTACCAGCAATGAGTTTCTGTTGCTCCAAATCTTCACCGATATTTGGTATTTTCAGATTTCTGGATTTTAGGCCACTCAAATAGGTATGTGTTGGCATCTCACTGTTGTTGTTTTTTTAAATATTATTATTGGGGAATTGGGGGATGGGAACAGCGCTGGGGAATTGGGGGAAGGGGAATAGACAAGTTGCTGTCCTTTTGTTGTGGAGGACGTTGTTTCACTGGCCCAAGTTGGCACCATCATTGCACTCTTCCCGGGCGAGGCAGATCAGTCACCGGCTTCTGGACGGCCGCTCACGCCAGCTGCTAGCCGCTCATGCTGGCTGCTGGCTACACACGGTAGCCCATGGCAACCCACTGCAGCAGTGGCTGCAGCCGTCGCCGGCGACTCATGGCAGCCCAGCTCCAGGTTGAGCTGTTGTTCAGCTTCTTAGCTGTGGAGGGCAGTGTCACTGGCCCTCATATGTGGGATCTGAACCGGGGCCTCCTGGCGTACCAAGCCAGCTCTTAATCAATGCGCCACTCGGCTGGTCCCTCACTGTTGTTTTAATTTAGCAATTACCTAATGATATGTTGAACATCCTTTCATATGTATATTTGACGTGTATATTGTGTGGTGAGTTATGTGTAGATATATTGTACATTTAAAAATTGGGTTATAGGGCTGGCCGAGTGGCTCAGTTGGTTAAGAGCTCGCTTGGGAGCACCAGCTCTGAGCAGTAGGGCCGCGGTTCGGATCCCACATTAAGGGCCAGTGATGCTGTGCCCTCTACAGCTAAGATGATGAATAACAGCTCAACCTGGAGCTGGGCTGCAGTGGGCTGCCATGAGCTACATGAGTGGCTGGCAGCCAGTGTGACCGGCTGATAGCCGGTGACAGCTGCTGTGAGCTGCAGTGAGTGGCCGACCAATGACCAGCGACCGATTGGGAAAAGCACCATGATCATACCAATGTGGGCCAGTGAAGCGACATCCTCCACAACTAGACTGAAGAAGCAATTTGTCTACTTGTCTGTTCCCCTTCCTTGATTCCCCAACGCTGTTCCCCTCCCCCAATTCCCCAATAAAATCTTAAAAAAAAAAATTGGGTTATTCTCTCACTGTTGAATTTTAAGTGTTCTTTGTGTATTTTGGATAACATCCTTTATTAGACAGGTGTTTTGCAAGTATTTTCTTTTATTCTGTGACTTTTCTTTTCATTCTTTTTTTTTTTAAGCTGAGCCATCCTGCTACCCATTGGCAGCTCAGCGGCTGCTCAGCTCGGGCTGGACTCGAACCGCTGTTGCTCAGAGCTCAAACTCTTGAGCGAGCTCTTAACCAACTGAGCCACTCGGCCGGCCCCTCTTTTCATTCTTTTTTAATAGTTTTTCTCAGAGAACATAATTCCAATTCTAACAAACCCAAATTTATTTTTTCATGGGTCATACTTTTTTGATATTGTATTTAAAAACATTGCCAAATTCAAGGTCATTTAGAATTTCTACTGAATTCTTTCAAGTTTCTGTATTGCCAAAATGCCATAAAAAAATGGTACCAACTGACATTCAAACCATCAGTATATGACTGTGCCCATTTCCTTGTCACTTAAGTTTACTTTATTTACATGACATTTCAACCAAAATTTTCATTTAAAATTTCATTCTAAGAAATTCTCTGAGATAGCAATTAATTTCAAGTTAAGATCATAAGACTGTTCTGAGCCACCACACTTCCATAGAAGAGATTAATGGGGAACTTCATAAAAACAAGTATTCCTCCTCTCCAAATACTTAACAACCATGTCTCTACTTTGTGATGAATCTTTCTGCTACACTCTATCTCCATTTATGTTAGCGATTATAAGCAGCCCATGACTCCCAATCATCCCCGCAGCATCTCCATTCTAATGCCCATGTGCCTCTGCACATTCCCCTTTCTAGCTTTAATTTTTCATACACGGCTCCCTGTTCCCTTCTCAAACATTCTTCTTACTTTATTATGGCCTGGCTCTCCCATGAGGATTTGGCCTCATCCACAGTGCTCTCTAGTGGTAACTTTTTCTCTCCTGTACCTTTACATAGGCCTGGAGATGAAGTGTCCTTTTGGTTCCTCGCTGCCTCTTTGAAGTCTCTATCTCCCTCCTTATCTATGCATGTAACTTCTGGACTTTCAAACTCATATCTACCTTTCCTTGTTTCAAAGATCTACCACTGTTATCTCTAACATTACTCTTAATTCAGTGATTTCAATAGCCACAAAGATGCTTGTGAGCCTAAAATTGCTTGACCTCTTCTCCATTGTTCTTGTCCTTTAGCCTACCTCAGCCACACACACACACACACCCATGGTCATGTCCTATACCTTATCAGTACCAATTACTGCAACTCTAAAATCGCAGTTGCACTCCAACTCCTATTGTTTTCACACCTACTTGTAGTACACCAATGCTAGCAATCGCTTGACTCCACTGGACCTAAATAAATCCCACTGATCTTCCAGGGTCCAGGATTACTTTCACATAATCATGTCTTTGACCCTCTTGCAGTTCACAGTATTCAAAACCCTGCCTACACCTTGCCTATCCCTATGCAGCTAAGTATAATGGAAGAAAAAGATACGAGTATTGTATATCCTGCTGACTGGCATTGTTAACCTCATATGGGCCCTTAGTGCTTCTAGCATTCATACTAGGTTTCCCCATTTCATGTATTCTTCCACACTCCTGTTTCTGTTCCAGGATACTATACATTTATTTGTTATGTTTCCTTAGGCTGTTCTTGGCTGTGCAATTTCTTAGACTTCCTTTTTGATGACCCTGACAGCTTGAAGGAGTACTACTGGTCAGGTATTATAATGTAGGATACCCCTCTATTGAAGTTTGATGTTTTTCTCATGGTTAGACTGAGTTTATAGGTTTGGGGGAGGAAGCTCAGAGTCAGGGTGCCGTTTTCATTGCATCATATCAAAGGAACATACTATCAATGTTAGTTAAGGCTGTTCATGTTCAGCTGATCACCTGGCTAAGGTATTCTGTCAGGTTTCTCTACTGTAAAGTTACTTTTTTCTCCCCTCTTCACACTGTGCTCTTTGGAAGACAGTCACTATGTGCAAGCCTCCTTAAGGGGTAGGGAGTGATGCTCTGTCTCCTTCTGGGTGGAACATCTACATAAACTATTTGGAATTCTTCTG